GGCGGGGCGCGGGCTTCGGGGTGCGGGAGCCGGCGGGACCCGGTGCGCGGGGAGCAGGAGCAGCGGGGCGCAGGTTTCGGGGAGCAGGAGCCGGCAGGACATAGGTACGTGGGGAGCAGGATCAACAGGGTGCAGGTTTCGGGGAGCAGGATCAACAGGGTGCAGGTTTCGGGGTGCAGGTTTCGGGGTGTAGGAGCCGGCAGCACGGAGGTCTATGGGGTGCAAGAGCGGCGGGGTGCAGGTTTTGGGGTGCAGGAGACAGCAGGATGGAGATACATGGTGTGCAGGATCAACAGGATGCAGGTTTTGGGGTGCAGGAGCAGCAGGGCGCAGCTTTCGGGGTGCAGGAGCCGGCAGGACATAGGTACATGGGGTGCAGGATCAACAGGGTGCAGGTTTCGGGGTGCAGGAGCCGGCAGGACCCAATGCATGGGGTGCAGGAGCCAGCGGGGTGCAGGTTTTGGGGTGCAGGTGCCCGCAGTACCTGGTGCACGGGGTGCAGGAGCAGCAGGGTGCAGGTTTTGGGGTGCAGGGCTCTGGTGCACGGGGTGCAGGAGCAGCAGGGTGCAGGTTTCGGGGTGCAGGGGCAGCAGGGTGCAGGTTTCGGGGTGCAGGGCTCCGGTGCACGGGGTGCAGGAGCGGCAGGGAGGTGCAGCGCAGCTCAGGCTTTGGGGTGCAGAAGCTGTGTGGGGTGCAGGGGGTGCAGCAGCTGCATAGGGTGCAACCAGGGGCTTGCGGGGGGACACGTGGGGTGCACAGGGAGCCGCGAGGTCCCCTACACAGCGGGGGGGACCCAAGGAATTGCTTGGGAATTGCCCAAGGAATCGCTTGGGAATTGCCCCGCGGAGAAGCAGCGCCTGTCCCGCGGGAAAGGGGAATGGCTGGGCTCCTTCCCTGCTCCTCCGGGATGGAGGTTTCCCAGCGCCCCAGGGCACTTCAGGAGCTTCAGGCTTTTAGGCTTTTCCTGTTAAACCTGCATTAAGTCCTAGCAAGGAGCGTTTAACCCCGGCCCCGCCGGGCACCGGCGCCCACAGAGCCTGCCCTGCTTCGCCCTCGCTCGGCCTGGTTTCCCTCCTAAAAACGCCACGTCCGGGGCTCGTTCCCGTCCCCGTTCGGGAGGAACGGAACCCAAAACGCTCCAGCTTCTGTTGGGGCCGGCGGTTCGGCAGCCCCCTACATTTCCACCCCGTTTTTGGGGTGAAAACGGGAGCGATACCGACACTTTGCGAGCCCTTTTCCTCCCCACCCAAGTGGCTCCGTGATCCTCTCCCTGGTGCGAAGGGACCCGGTGTCCCTGCCCCCTCCTCCAGCTGCCTTCCCTTGTAATTAATTAAGACAATTAAGAGCGTGGGCTGCAAACGGGTGGGATCCGTGGGCTG